AGCTCATGTCGAAGAAAATGGTCCAGGTTCTCACTCGGGACGTTCCTGGCTTCTTCTTTTTACCAGGCACGTGCCTCGAGCACCAGTCACACCTCGGAGTTCTGGGCAGTCTGAAACATGTGGACCAGATGTTGGAGTCTTACGGGCGAAAGTGGCGGTATTTCAGTTCAATTGCTATGATAGCAAATACTTTGAGAGACTTGTCCCAGAGTCTTTTCAGCTCATGGCGGTCACTCTTCGGTGATGAATCAGCGGTCGCCAAAGTGAAGGCCCTGTTCCCACGTTGCATAGCAGAACGCTGGGGAAGCATCGACCAGACAGAATCCCGGCTATTGAAAGCCAACGTAGCTTCTCTGGCCCAGGCTGTGTCACACATGTTCCAAGTCTATCCACAACTCAACGACGCCGGAGTCGGGGATGAGGCGGCGCATGACAAGGTCGACTTGCTTGGCGCTGATGACCGCAAAGCCTACCAGAAAAAAATGGGCAGATGGCGCAGGCACACCATCGAAACTTTGCACGACCCCTTGTTTGGTGGAGTCATCCTTGTTTTGCATGAGGCCAAGCAGCCATGGATACATCTGTCCAACTTTCTGAAGAAGAAGCTTCCTTTGGAGAGCGACGGTCATTTGTTTCAGTTGGTGTGTGGCAAAGCAAAGGACATGCTCTCACAGTTCGAAGATATGCTGTTCGAGCCGCTCGGAAATTGGGCAGCAGTCATCATCACAGATGCGGTTTTGTGCTGAGGGCTGAGGGCCGCTTGCGCAGTGCGGATTTCGTGAACGAAAGTATTATTGTTGTTTGTTGTTTCGGTGCTTAAAGTTGATGCTGATGCTTGTTCGTTTGGAGTCTTTCTTCGAGTCAAATGTTTTAGTTGTTTTGGATGTGTTTCTTTTTTTTGTTTTGTTTTGAAACTACATACTATGTTTCGCGTCCGTGTGGCGGCTGTTGGCGGTGGCCGCCGTGGCCGCCGGTTGCCGGTTGTTTATTGCCGCGCTCACTGTCTCATATGATTCATGACCTCACTGTCTCATATGATCCATGACTCCATGACATCATGACGCATGACTCATCATGAATCATGAGCTCATGAGCGTCATGCCGCGAGAAACCGTCATGAGTCATCAGTCATCAGTCATCATGAGTCCGTCATGAGTCATGAGTCACGAGTCATGAGTCATGCATGAGTCATCAGTCATGAGTCATGAGTCATCAGTGAAACCACCATCATGGCGCCGCACGCAGCACACGTGTCGCATATGTCCAGGCCGCCCAGGCCGTTGAGTGCTGAGTGCCGAGTTCCCATTGGCCCATTGACCCATTGATGCACCCATTGACTCAGGAACAACGAGTCATGATTCGCAATGCTCAGCACACTGGCTGAACAATCTGCAGCACTTGCAGGCGTCCGATATTGCTTTCTTGCTGCAGCTGGCCCGTGCACAGCTATTGTTGAACGCTTCAGCATTTGGGCGACGAGTTGTGGATCCATTGCAGCGCTGGCCACATCGCCTGCTGTTGCTTGGGCAGAGTGCCGACAATGTAACTTGCACGCTACGCCAGCAAATCGCGCAAGAGCTCCTGCACACATGCCCAGAAGAGCTGGAAGTCAACGCGCGCAAAGTGAAGGCACTGTTCAAGGCCGACCTCCTCGTCGCGTCCGAGAAAGGCTTGCTAACAGGAGCTTTGCGCGTCTCTGTCAGAGCAGTCGCCCGCATGTGGAAGGCAGACTCCCGGGAGTGCGAGAGGATCAACAAGATGCTCAAGCTTTTCACGGAGCGTGGGCCGACGTCATCGGCAGAGCTTGTGTCCAGCAGAGCCTGCATAAAGCATTTTCTCGGGGAAGCTGTGGCGCCGGGAGGGACGCAGCTGCGCCGCAAGTGGTCGCACTACCGCCCGACTGCTCGGAGGTTGTTCGACCTCTGCTTGGGAAGCTGGGCCGACCGCAAGGACGTCGCAGAGGAGCTCGACAGATGGGTGCAGCCGCCGCCGCCGGAGAATCTTCCGTCTGACAAAGATGCAGCCCTCGCTTTTTCCAAGCTACACCCTGAAAGTCTACCGACCTTGGCGCGGAATTGGGCTGCCTGTTACAACATGATCCTCAACAAGCACCTGGCCGGTCTTGTTTCGTCTAAGGGTCCAGTGCCAAGTATGCCGGTGATTGCTGTGGGCGCGCTGTTCAAGGACCCGAACCTTGTGACTACCTCAAAGTCTTTTCAGTACTTCGTGGTGGCGGACAAGGTTAGAAGCGTCTATCGCTTGGCTCGCTGTGTGATCTCTGGTACAGGCTGCATCTCCTTGCAACGACCGCTGGCCTTTCAGGCTTGCAATGAAGTTCTTGCTGCTCGCTGGGATGATGTTCACGAGGGTGCGACTGTGCAAGTGTTCTCAATTCCAACACAAGCCAGAGTCACGGTCAGTGAGCTTGGTCATCTAGGAGAGCTTGGAGTTTTGTCAGGCAAGCCTCAGCCGATTGTTGTCCTGAAGCAGCCGAACAAAAAAACGCTCAACAAGTTAAGTGGAGACGTTCGCCGCGCTGGAGGTGCTGCTGCTACAACTGCCACGCTGCCGCCAGGTGAGCGAGTCATTCACGAAGACAACCAAGGTGCTCATGAGCGTGATGAAGACGGTGACGGTGACGGTGATGGTGAACTGGAGGAGGGTTTGAACATGCTTCTGGAGGAGGCGGAGCAGGACGTGGGAGGCAATGGAGGCGATCCCGAAGAAGCGGACGTAGCAGAAGCAGATCTTCTGTACATCGCCATCAGCAACATGATGCACGAGAATTGCGGTCTTCACCACGATGAGCTAGACACCATGGCGGACGCCGTGCAGCAAGAAGAAAAGAAACAAATGATGGAGAATTCCATTGACTCGCAGGAGTGTCGCAAAGCACAGGAGGCAGTGCGAGGTGGCATTTGTGATGGTTTGGATGTGGAAGCCTTGAAGCGCATGGGTCTGGACATCTCTGTTGACGATGATCCAGGGGTAGATGTCCTGCTTGAGGGCGTGCTCAATTCACAAGGCGTTATGGGCAACTTTGATTGCCGTCTGGAAAGCGCCTCCTCATCTTCATCGTCGGTAGGTGCTTTGGCAGAGGTTTCTACAACAACGACTACTACTACTACTACGACGACTACTACTGCTGCTACTGCTACTACTACTACTACTACTACTACTACTACTACTACTACTACTACTACTACGACGACGACTACTGCTACTGAGTGATTAATTTGTCAATGGTGTGACTGTCTGACTGACAGACTGATGATTCTGTTGTTTACGCATTGATGTGCACAGTCAGAGTCTGAGGTAAACCCACCGAGAGAATGATTCGAGATGCGGGTGATTTGTGGTTGTCGGAGGCTCAACAGAGCCTCGCTTGCGTTCAGTTCTACATGGACTCTCAAGCCAAGACTCCTGGACAGGACGGCTGTGTCTCTTTGGTGGCTTTGCCCGGTACAACACAGGAGGAGCACGAGGAGCGGCTGGCCTCGTTGGTTTACATTCAGTGGACGGACCCAGGCGTGAAGGGAAGAGTGGCAGACGTCACTGCCGACAACCGCTTGAAATGTATTGTGCCAGTGGGAAAGAAGAGGATCCCCCTGGACATCGCAGCGTTGCGTGGGGAAATCCTGTTGCCGTCAGCTGGTGCCAAAATAGTGAAGGACAAGCAATATGCGCAAGCTAGGCATCTACACCATCCAAGCCAAGTGCCCGACGAAGTGCTTCGCTTTATCCGCATGTGGCAAACGTCCCAGCACAGAGGTGCAGACAGTGACATGAACATATCAGCACAGGTGCTGCTTGCAGACACGGCAGACACTTGCTTTGTGTGCTCTGGTGGCGTGCAAGAGTCTGATGCAGATTCAGATGCAGATGCAGGATTGCAGTTATCGGTGTGCCCGTTCTGCCTGCTCTGCAGCCATGCTTCCTGTGCGCAGAGGTTGTCGCAATCGAAAGCCGGGCAGCAAGCTCTGGAATCATTGCAAGCCTTTGAAGACGGCGGCGGTGGCGGTGGCCAGGGCGGCATACTTCCAAGGTGGTTGTGTGACAGGTGCCCCGTGCGCGCACGTCTGTGTGTGTGTGTGTGTGTGTGTCTCTGTGTGTGTGTGTGTGTGTGTGTGTGTCTCTGTGTGTGTGTGTGTGTGTGCGCGCGCTCTGTGTGTGTGTGTGGTAACTTGTGTGGGTCCCTGTGTGTCTGTGTCGTTATTCGCTGTGCGTCACCGGCTTCGGGCGGCGGCGTCGGGAGTGGCGGTGGCGTTTGCGCTGGACCATCGGCGGTGCGGCGTCGGGCGTCGGGCGGCGTCGGGGGCATCGGGGTGCGGCGCTGCGGGCTTTATTTGGTTGCGTGCGTGTGGTGCCAGCAGTTCTTTTTTTTTTTGGTCTCTTGTAGTTGCTTCTGGCGTGTGTCCATGGGCCGTGGGTTCGTGTTCAGTGTCCAGTCTTCAGTCTTCAGTCTTGCAAGTCCTTCCAGATCCAATCATGCGGCATGCGGCGTGCGGCATGTGGCATGCGGCATGTGCGTCAGACGGCATGCGGCATGCGGCGTGAGTCGGCGTGAGACATCTTGAAACACATGAGAGAGAGAGAGAGAGAGAGAGAGAGAGAGAGAGAGAGAGAGAGAGAGAGAGAGAGAGAGCCACCGTCAGTCCGTCAGTCATGATGGTCAATGAGTCAAATGGTCCAATGGTCATAGACTCATAGACTCCTAAACTTTTAGTCCAAACCCTAAAGCCTAAACCCGCCTAAACCTAAACCTAAACACTAAACCCGCCTAAACCCGATAAAGCCTCCTCAAACGAGTCGTTGCACGTGCTGCTCGTTGATGTGGACCCAGGACATGAACCCGGAGGACGGAGAGGCACGGGGCCGGGGCGGCCGGGGACGTGTCATCTCAGTCATGTGCTAGTCCACAGGTTCAATGATCATTGCGTTGCATTTCATTGCCGTACTGCCAGGACCAGATCCCTTGCAACATCGACGGCGGCGTGTAGCCACAGCTACAGCCACGGGCCACGGGCTCAGTCGGCAGGCACGCTGTCATGCTGAGCTGAGCTGAGCCAGAGCTGAGCATGACTCTGTGACCATGATTATGCACATTCACATGCACACGTGACACACTGGCATTTGGAAGCGTGAAGACAATGCTTGCTGCTTGCTTGCAGCTGACAGCTTCAGCAGCGCAGCATTCAGCATGGCAGCCATGACAGGCCTTTAGGACCAGACAAACAGCCAGGCAGTGACAGTGACAGGCACAGGTGACGGTGATGATAGGCTAGCTAGCTAGCAACGCCACGGTCTCGAAGCCTCTGCGCCGTGGGCCCTTGGAGCCTGGGGCCCACAGCATGGCCAAAGAAGAGCAAACAGAAGATGAGGACCCGGAACGCCGTGCGTATCAAGCATCCCTCCACGTTTGGGAATGCATTAGGCCCCCCACCCCACGGGGGGGTAGGAATACATTATCTCTCGTTGTGCCCAGGAGACACAGGCATGAAATGTATTGGGGGGTCGGTGGTTTTTGTATGGTTTTCCTATGTATATAATGCATAACCCTCGGAAGCATGGGGTGGACGTCATGAGAACAAGAGATAGCCCAACTTGCCTTTTGTTCTTCAATCGCAGGTAATACATTATTCATGTGTTTCCCAGGAAGAGCAGGTCTTGAGATGTATTGGAGAGTCCCTCGGTTTCCTGCCAAGGCAACGTATGCAAAACCATAAGAAGGTTGAAGCCTCTGATCTTGCGAGTTTGAGTCTCCTGGCCATTTGTCGCCGCTTCTCTCTAGCGAGGGCTTCTGACTGTGCAGAGAAATGGGTTCTCTGCCGACGAAATGTCCGAAAGACCAGAGCAGCCACAGCGTATAGCATTTCAACAATGGGGAATGTGCTGACCAAAAAAAAACAAAAGAACCGTGTTGATGCATCATCATGCTTTCGAAGCATCCAAGGCAGCTGAACCACCACATAGAACCACTAGTTCCTCAGACTACTCGCCCTGTACCTACATTGCATGTTTGCTCTCTGAGCGACTGGCTTCTGCAAGCTGCTGTGTCCACTGTGCTCGCAGAATGTGCCCAGGCAGTGTACCAGTTTTGTTTTGTTTTGGTTGTCTGTCTGTTTAAAAATGCGGCGGCCGACGCAACAGGTGGTTTTAATACAATTTTCATGTGAGGAAGGGGAAGAAACGTGCAGCTCCGTGCGAGAGCGAGCAAGGGGCCGTGAAACCTGTGATGCGTCGTGGCGTACAAGCCCAGTGGTGCGTAGCTTGGCTGAATGCAGATGCAACCTATGTAACACATCCAGTCCGGAAGCGGCAATCTGTGCCGGGTGCAGTGGCGAACTCAGGTGTGTTTCCCTTCCTGTTCGACGTCGTCCTGGATCGCGTTTACGCCGACTGACAGGAAGGATTTAGCTGAACAGTTGCTGCTTGGCTAAATTGTTGGTATCGCCTCCTCTTTTTTTTCGGTCACTGTCCTTTGAGACCCGGATGGCTTCGTGATCATGTCTCACTGTAGGTTGGACGTGTGTCGTCTCCATGCCGACCTCCCCCGTGATCAGCTTCGTATGCTGTGTGGCTCGCCCGAACTATTCTGTTTTTTTTTGAGCGGGGCTCGGACTCGGGCTTGGGATTTAGGGTTCAGTGTTTAGGGTTTAGGGTTTAGGGTTTGGGGGCTTAGGGTTTAGGGTTTAGGGTTTAGGGTTTAGAGTTTAGGCTATAGGGTTTAGGGTTTTGGGTTTTGGGTTTTGGGTTTTGGGGTTAGGGCAAGCGCTCTGTGACAGAGGCAAGGAGCTTCGCCAAAATGAGAAAGTCCAGGCCTCCCAGTGTCACTCACAAGTGGCGTGTGTGTGATGTGCAGCATGGCAGTGGCAATGTCTCATGCCCACGTGATGCTCCCGCGGCTCAAAGAAGAGTGTTCCTTGTTTCTTTTGGGTTGTGGCCATGCTGTCGACATCTCTCAATGTTTTTTTCTACCAACCAAGCATCGATTTCCGGTATGAGTTATAAGTACGGTGACTCATAGAGGTTAGAGTCAGAGTCTCGACTTGAGTCCATGTGGTTAGGAACATTCTCCAGCACATTTTGTGCGGTGGAAGCATGGATGTTACCATGCTGGTCGGGGTGATTCGTCGGTTTCTGGTGTCGATGCTTCGTACGCTGGAGACATGGCAGCAGGAAGATGATCTATGAAGTTTTTTTTTGGTTGAGAGACAGAAAGGTTGCAGAAAGACCAGATTTTCAACACACAGAGGATTCCGTTTATCCTCCACCTCCGGGATCTCAGGTGTGCTTGGCAGCATACTAGTCTTGAGTCATCTGGATCCTCCTCCCTGTGTCCTCACCTTCTCTGATCCGTAGGCTCTGTGTGGCATGTGCAGCTGTTCGACTTCATCAACAGAGGTACCACTGCCAGCATTGTTTTAGCTTTCTTCTCCGCTTTCCTCCCTCCCTCTCCCTCTCTCCCTCCCTCCCTCCCTCCCTCTCTCTGTCTCTGTCTCTGTCTCTGTCTCTGTCTCTGTCTCTGTCTCTGTCTCTGTCTCTGTCTCTGTCTCTGTCTCTGTCTCTGTCTCTGTCTCTGTCTCTGTCTCTGTCTCTGTCTCTGTCTCTGTCTCTCTCTCTCTCTCTCTCTCTCTCTCTCTCTCTCTCTCTCTCTCAGGCTGCCTCTTCCTCTTCGCATTCCTCATCGGCGCCGCAGGAGCAGCTCCGGCAGACTGTCTGCGCTAATTTTCTTTTGCACGGAGTTTCATTGTGTTTCGTTGTCGTCATCTGCCCTCCTTCCAGTGGTTATGCAGTAGGAGAGCGGAGTTTCTGGCGGTGGTCCCTGGACACCTCCTGGATCTCCTCCCGACACTCCTGTCTTCGGGCCCTATGCTCCTTTCACACCCAGTACAATTCGGAACGGCGGTGCTGTTCCTCGGACACCGATTGAACTTCTCGTGGGCGGTGCTGTTCCTCGGACACCGATTGAACTTCTCGAGGGTTCTGCTGGTGCTGATGCGGAGTTGTATATGGACCGTGTGCGGCCTCCCCCGACTCCGCCTCCTGATTATCTGATGGAGGACGCTTGGATGGATGTTTAGGGGCCCTTAATTTGCAATCCTGTTTCTGTTCTGCGACCTGTGTGTTTTATTTGTCTTGCTCCTAAGAGCCAGAGGAGGAAGGTCAGACTTCGCCCGACTTATCTTTGGATGTCTTCCCGGCGAATGTTGTGCACATGTGTGGTCGTGGCAGAGACATGCAAAGCAGTTCAGCTGGCAGACCCTGTGCACCAAGTCCATCTATGAGCTGTTTCTTTGTTGCCAGGCTCCTGCGAATGTTTTGCACATGTCTGGTCAGGCGAGGATCTGCTCTGGGGTTCGCGTGGGAAGGGGAGGGGGGGGGGGGGAGGCACAGCAAGCTTCTATGGTCCTGAGGCCAGCAGCTTGGCCACGGATGGTTTGCTGGGTGAGGATCCGAGAGGGGACAGGGGAAGCAAGAAGTCTGCTGAAGGGATATGTATCCTTTTCCCTCGCGAGTCTGAGCACGCAGCGGGCCGGAGGATGACTCTGACTCTGGCGACGACGAGTGTGAGCCGGCTCCTTCCACTCGTGCGGGCCGAAGCCTGAGCAGGAGCCGAAGCCGCAGCCCACGGCGATCTAATTCGTGAGTTTTGTGGTGCATCAGCATGCACTTGCCTTTTTGGCGAATTGCGTGGCGGGCTAACAAATGTTAACCCTGTCGTTTCCGCGCTTGGCCTGTCAATCCTTAAGCCGGAATATCTGCATCTGCAGATCCTCAGTTTTGATGAGGGGATGTGGTCACACCGTGCCCTGTTGCAACACTGGACCCTAAATCCCTAAAGTCAAAGTAACTCATCGTCGTTTGTGCTCATGCATAAGGCCTATTGAGCTCGCGGGTTGAGGGTTTAGGGTTTAGGGTCTAGGGTTCTAAGGTTTCAGGCTTGTAGGGTTTAGGGTTTAAGGTTTAGGGTTTAGGGTTCCATAACGTCAAAAGACCTCACCGCCCCCAAGGCCGGAATCCTAGCCCTAAATCCATAAAGTTAAAGTAGCTCACCGTAGTGTACGGTTCTCAGATGCATTGTGTGCATGGGCTTCTTTGTGAAGCGTTTTCCCTCGGTCACAGCTTCCAGTCCAGTTACTTACTTGTACAGCAATCGAAGCTGCTGATCCCAGCAGTGAATTCCCTAAACCTTTAACGCCCCGAAATCTCCCCTCCCCTTCCCCCTCTTCCCCCCTCCCCTCCCCTGATACCACAATCCTCGACCCCGTAGTACCAACTCCTGATCCACCCTTGGAGCCCCACAAGCCCAGAAGTGTAGACAGTGTGCGCGGAACAATCGCTCGTGCGAACTGCGGAAGAATCGGAGACGCCTGCGTGGGTTCACATGGTTAAAGGGGTAGAGCCTTCCCACGTGTCTATAGGGTTTGGTGGGTTTTATGGGTTTGCTGATTCGGGGTGTCTGTCTGCTGTGCCATGCACAGGAACCATCAGCGCTGGAGTCGATGCAGATCGTTGAGCACGTTCAGGACTGCTACCCTGGCATGGGGTTATGAGGAAAACTTTAAAGGGTTTATGGACAGGGTGCATAGTGTCTAAGGTTCGGTACAGCCTTCTCATTCTGCACAGGCGTAAGAGGGTAGGGTTCAGAGGCTTCCAGGGGTGTCTAGGGTGTAGGGGTGTCCGGAGTTCGGGTATCTGTAAGCCGTATGCACAGGAGCCACCAGGATCTTTGCCTTCGGCACCGATGCATGGGCCTGCCGGCGAAGATTTGCCTTCGGCACCGATGCATGGGCCTGCTGAGGACTGAGCGCTCTAAACTCCAAACGCTTGGAACCCCGAAACCATGAAACTCCGGCACAGGGCCCCAGGGTTGGATTAGGGTTGCTGTTGTCTGGGTTCCTGGGAGTCGATCCTGCCATGGATGTTGCCTAAAGGGTCTACAGGGTTTTATGGGTTCGCTGATTGGGCATGTCTGTCTGCTGTGCCATAACAGGAC